ATGAGCACAATTAAGTGTTCTGGGATTCCCATTCTTCATAACGTTATCCATAATTTGTTATGATCCACACAGTTGAATGCCTTTGCAAAGTCAATAAAACACAGGTAAACATCTTTCTGGTATTCTCTGCTTTCAGCCAGGATCCATCTGACATCAGCAATGATATCCCCAGTTCCACGTCCTTTTCTGAATCCGGCTTGAATTTCTGGCCATTCCTTGTCAATGTACTGCTACAACTGCTTTTGAATCTTCAGCAAAATTTTATTTGTGTGTGATATTAATGATATTATTTGATGATTTCTTCAATCTGTTGAACTACCTTTCTTTGGAATGAGCATAAATATGGCCCTCTTCTAGTCAGTTGGCCGTGCAGCTGTCTTCCAAATTTCTTGGCATAGACAAGTGAGCACCTCCAGGGCTGCCTATGTTTGTGGAAATATCTCAATTGGTATTCCGTCAATTCCTGGAGCCTGTTTTTTTCGCCACTGCCTTCAGTGCAGATTTGACTTTGTCATTCATGACCATTTATTTATTCATTCATGTTTACACATATTTATATATGTTTATAATGAGCCCAAAGCGCTGGTGGCACAGTGGTTAAGAGCTACAGCTGTTAACCAAAAGGTCAGCGGTTCAAATCCACCACCGCTCCTTGAAAACCCTATGGGGCAGCTCTCCTCTGTCCTATGGGGTCGTTATAGTTGGAATCAACTTGATGGCAACGAGTTTGGTTAGTGTTTTTTTTTTATATGGAGGCCTGCTGGGGCAGTGTATAAGTGCTCAGTTGCTAACTGTAAGGTTGGCAGTTCGAACTCACCAGCTGCTATGGGGGTGAAAGCTGTGGCAGTCTGCTTCTGTAAAGATTACAGCCATGGAAACCCTGTTGGGCAGTTCTACTCTGTCCTTCAGGGTTGCTGTGAGTCAGAATTGGCTTGATGACGACAGGTTATATGGCTATCTGAATGAGTATATTTGCACCTATATCTGTTTTTGTTTTTGTTATTAGGTGCTGTCTAGTCAGTTCCGACTCATAGCAACCCTACATACAACAGAACGGAACACTGCCCTGTCTTGCATCATCTGCATGATTGTTGTTATGCTTGAGCCCACTGTTGCAGCCACTGTGTCAGTCCATCTCTTCGAGAGTCTTCCTCTTTTTCCCTGAGCATCTACTTTATCAAGCATGGTGTCCTTCTCCAGGGACTGGTCCCTCCTGATAACATGTCCAAAGGATGTGAGATGAAGTCTCACCATCCTTGCCTCTAAGGAGTATTCTGGCTGTACTTCTTCCAAGAGAGATTTGTTTGTTCTTCTGGCAGTCCATGGTATATTCAATATTCTTCACCAACACCATAATTCAAAGGCATTAATTCTTCTTTGGTCTTCCTTACTCATTGTCCTGCTTTCACATGCATATGAGGCGATTGAAAACACCATGGCTTGGGTCAGGCTCACCTTCGTCCTTAATACCTGTATCTAGGTATAGATACTTTGGTCCTTTAAAATAGTAGAATTTACAAAATTTTATGCTCTCAGATGAGTCTGCATAGGCCATCCCAAGGTATTCCTAGTTGTATCTTCCACTAAGAGAGATTTTGACAAGTTAACTGTATACAGCGGAATACACACACACACACAGTCAAACATGCATACACACGTGTGTGTGTGTGTGTGTGTGTATGCCGGTAGCCCCTGACTTATGACATATTTGAATTAGGATAAACCGCACTTATGACCATCTGTTTCTTTTTTTTTTTTGTACATCTTATCGTCAGTCATAGGCAGCACATACAGTGTTGCAGCACGTAATTTACTGATGTTATCGTTCTCAGATGTTCACTGGAAATTACATGTAATGTTTCCAACCCTCAAAATCAGATTTATAAAGATACTGATAATTAAAGACAATAATAATAAAAACTAACAATAAAAAGAGGTATTTGACTTAATGTCAGAACCAACTTACGAGGGAGTTGTCGGAAGGGAAACCTGTCATACGCTGGGGACTACCTGCATGTGTGTGTATATGTATGCCTATCCCCCGTTGCCTTCCACTCATAGCGACCCTATAGGACAGACTAGAACTGCCCCGCAGTGTTTCCAGGGAGCGGCTGGTGGATTCGAACTTCTAACCTTTTGGTTAACAGCCGAGCTCTTAACCACTACGTCACCAGGGCCCCATATATGTGTATCCATATCCATATATATATGTTTATGTATGTGTATAACTATAGTTGCTGTTAGTTGCTGTCAAGTCAGTTCTAACTCATTGTTATAAAGCCTTGTGTGTGCAGAGTAGAACTGCTGCGTAAGGTTTCAAGGCTGTGACCTTTGGGACGTGGATCACCAGCCCTTACTGCTGAGGTGTCCCTGAGTGAGTTTGAACCACCAAACCTTTTGGTTCATAGTCCAGCCTTACCCGTTTGCACCCCCAGGGACTCATACACACTTAGGTTTTCCACAGTATCTATTGTATGTAACCTCTGATGGGGAGAAACATTGATGGGCGAAGGACTCAAGGGACTTGGGGTTTCCCCGTTCCTGTTCATCGGCTGTGACTTTTCTGCAGGGCCGCTATGAGTTGGAATTGACTCTATGGCAATGCGTTTTTTTTTTTTTTTTTTTTTTTGGACAAGTCAGGTGGCTCCTTTGCCCCTAGTTTTACCAATGCTGACATGAGGGCCAGGCCCCAGGAAAACCTGTGTCCTGTCCTGCTCAAATCTCCTTTGCGTCCACTGCGTCCCAGATAGGAGTTCTGTTTAAAGGGCTGTGGTTATGGAGATACAACCCACTGCCGCTGAGTTGATTGTGACTCATAGCGACCCTGTAGGACACAGAAGAACCGCCCCATAGGGTTTCCAAGGCTGTCAATCTTTACTGGAGCAGACTGCCACATCTTTCTCCCTCGGAGCAGCTGGTGGGTTTGAACCCCAACCCTTTGAATGCTTAACCCCTGCGCCACCAGGGCTCCTTATGGAGATATATGTATATATATCTGTAGGTAGCCCAGCTGTCCTGTGACTCATGGTGACCCAGTGTGTGGCAGAGTAGAACTGTGCTCCATAGGGTTTTGAATGGCTGAATCTTTAGAAGGAGATCACCAGGCCTGTCTTCCGAGGCACCTCTGGGTGGTGGACGTGAACCTACCACTTTTTGGTTAACAGCCAAGAGCGTTAGCTGTTTATACTCTTCAGGGACAAACACCTGGTATGTATAGATGGTGTCCCTGGGTTGTGTAAATGGTTAATGCACCCAGCTGCTAACTAAATATTTGGAGGTTTGAGTCCACCTAGAGGCACTTTGGAAGAAAGGCCTGGTGATCTACTTCCGAAAAATCAGCCACTGAAAACCCTATGGAACAGAGATCTACTCTAACACATGCGGGGTGGCCAGGGGTCAGAACTGCCTGCACAGCACCTGTTGTTTAGTTTATAGATACTGTGTTTAAAGAGCGTATCAGCGTTACTTCCTAACTGCATTATACACCCCTGGAAGCACCATTTATTAATAACTTTTTATATCTCCAGTGGCTTGTACATACTTTGTTAATAAATACCTTTTCTTGTTTTAAATTGACTTGCTTATGAAATGAAGTTCACCTAAAATACTGAAAAGAATCAAAATATCGACACATTGAGATTCTAAAAACCAAATACAGGCCTGTGTATATAGCTAAGTCCTGGTTTCCTTTAAGCAGAAACAAACTTCAGTTGATGTCATTTTCCCCCAATAACTGAGAGTAGAGAAGTGATGTATTTATTATTCAAGGATGGACTTATTCCTTGAAAGTAATGCATCTCGTTCACACTGGCAGATCCATTCCTCCAGGACATGTCTGGGGCCTGGACGGAAGCCCACGTCAGCCCTGTTTCCAGCATGAGCAGCTGCTGAAATAGACGATTCCCTCTGCTGTGTACTTTCCCTGAAACCACTAACTTTGTGTTCGATCTGTTTACTCGCTCTGATATTCCTCAGAATACTAAGCCCAAGGGAGAAAGACAGTCAGAGCATACCATTCACTGTCAAGGATCGTGGTAGCCTCTCCGTGAGCGACAGGCAACTCGGGGACAGTTGTTCGGTGCCAGGAGTGAGCGAAGGAAAGTTACGAAGACAGGGCGGCACCTCTTGCCCATTTCTAACAGCCTGACTCAGCATGGAGGCTTGTAACAGGACTTCAGGGCACCTGTGAAAACCTCCCACTGAAGAGTTCCTATTCCTGTGTCCCTTAGGGAAAGACATGCACATTCAGCTGGGAGGTAACCTGCGTTTCCCATCTTGAAAGGACTGTGCGTCTTTAGCGCGTGTAATCACAGGGTCAGAATGAGATACGGAGGGCGGGAGGTGGACCGTCCGCTCTGAAAGCGGGCATGTGGTGGTCGTGTCCTCTGTCCTTGCTCCTCCGCAGGGCTCTTGTGAGTCTCCAAAGTCTCCAGCCTTTTGCATGGAGCCCCGGTGGTGCAACGGTTAAGTGCTCAGGTGTTAACCAAATTGTTGGTGGTTTGAACCCACCCAGCCACTTGGCTGGTGATAGACCTGTTCGCATAAAAATTACGGCCTAGGAAACCCTATGGGGTAGTTGTACTCTGTCACTTTGGGTCCCCAGGAGTTGGAATTCACTTCACCGCCCCCAGCCTCAGCAACAGCAGCCCTTGGCGGCCCGGTTGCATAGGGAGTGGGTCTGCAGGCGGTCTGGCTCTCTGATGAATCCTGTGAACGCTCAGTGGTTTCTGCCCAGCCAGAGCCAAAAGGAAGGCGGACATTGGCCTGGAGATCAGCAGGGAGCTCTGACGCCGGGCTGGCTCCTTGGTGGGCGGCACCCTCTCTACTGTGCAGGGCTCACTGTGGATGACATGACATCCCAGTGGAACCCTCAGTCACCCCTAAACAATGGCACGGGGCAAGGCTTCGAATCCCTCCTGCAATGTTTGCTACTGATGTGGTCCCCAAAGGGGAGAAAAATCATGCATTTTTATCTTTATTTTATTTCTTTTCCTGTTTAGAAATTGCCCCCTGGTTACGGGAGTTCAGAGCGAAGGATGCTGTGGATTTCTCGCAGTTAACATTTGACCCAGGACAGAAAGAGCTTGTTGTAGGAGCAAGGTGAGAGACTTCTATTTTGCCATTGCAGATATTTTCGACTTCGTTTCACATCTCTGCAGTTAAACAAGAGCTCTCCGTGTGGCCTGTGAATGCTGGGTAATATGCCTTCTTCAAAGAGGGAGGTACCGCGTAACGTGTCCTAGGTCTGCTACTGCTGACAATGCTGACGGCTGCCACGTACAAGGAGCCCCTGGGCGGTGCAAACGGAGAACGTGCTCGGCCACTAACCCAAAGGTTGGAGGTCCGAGTCCACCCAGAGGCACCTTAGAACCTACCCTATTGCTGTCATCTGCTTCTGAAAAGTCGGCCATTGAAAACCCAACAAATGGAGCACAGTTCTTCTCTGACACACTGGGGGCCGCCAGGAGTTGGAGTTGACCAGATGGCACCCCGTTTTGTTTGTTTGTTTGGGTTTGCTACTTTAGAAGGCATTTAGTGGGCCCTCACCACCTGCCAGGACCAGTTCTGACATGAGTTATCCAGCCCGAGAGGTAGGGACTGTCAACCCCACTGCTGCATATATGAGGGAACTGAGGCCCACAGCGTGACGTATGCTGCTCGGGACATTTACCTATTAAGAGATGGGCCCAAGTTTCAAGTCCAGGCAGTCTGACTCCAGAACCCAAGTTCTTAACTTCTCACTAGATTCTTGAATAGAATTCTAGCAGTCAGGAGACCCTGGCTTGTATTAGCCTATTGTTACCTGTCTTAGTTTCCTCGGGTGGCCATCACAAAACATCACAAGGGGGTGGCTGTGTAGAACAGAAATTTATTTTTTCACAGTTCTGGAGGCTAAAAGTCCAAGTCAAGGTCTTAGTCATGTCACTTCCTTCTGCGGCCTCTCTCCCAGTGTCTAGTGTCTGCTGGTGGTCGATCCTGAGTGTTCCTTTGCTTGTAGATGGTTCCTCATGTGGCATCTGTCTTCCCCTGTGTGTGTCTGTGTGTCTGTTCTGTTCTTCTTACAGGACACCACTCAGAAGGGACTAGGTTTAGGACACACCCTACTCTGGTATGGCCTCATTGACATGAGAAAACGGGGTCCCATTCACAGGTGCAGTGGTTAGAACTGCAGCATAATTTTGTGGTCACAGTTGAATCCACAGCATTATGTGTCTTTGTGACTTTGATCAGGCCATTTGCCAACAAGTTGAGAATTCAAGGGTGTTATCATTTCCAGCGCTGTCTCTCAAGGATGTGTATCTCCTGAATCCAACTCAACACCTGGCATTTCTGCTAGAAGATGTGGCCCCTAGACCCCAATCACAACAGATTTGAGTTTTCCTCCATATTCGCTATTACTTAGAAAAGGCACGTAAACCCTTCGTTCAAGTCGCCTACCCTGTCAGCGTGTCTTGCGGATAAGATATAGATAGATATTCTTGTGTATCCCTATACACACCTGTGCAGCTATATGGAGCCCTAGTGGCAAAGTGGTTAAGAGCTCAGCTGCTAACCAAAGGCCTCTTTTGGTGCCTGTGAACAGATGGTGAGTGTGGTAGACAAGCAGTACTGGATGTCTCCTCTTTTCCTCAGCCCACTGGGAATACCTGTGGGGCTGCCAAGGCTGGTTCCCACCAGTTCCATCGCTCGCAGCCTGGGCTGTGTGCCTGCTGCAGGGGTTCTTAGGTTGTTCTCCTGCCCCCAGGGCTTCTCCTCTGTGTACTGTGCATGGCTGTCTTAGGCTGGGTTCTCTAGAGAAGCAAAACCAGTAAAGCATATAAATATATATACGTAGAGAGAGATTTATATCAAGGAAACAGATCAAAGGATTGTAGAGGCTAGAACGTCCCAAGTCTGTGCATCAGTCCCAATTCACACAGCCGCAGAAGCTGGCGAGCCCAAGATTGGCAGGTCAGAGAGCAGGGCTCCGCTCACAGGCTGTGAAGATTGATGAATTCCAAGACTGGCAGGCAAGACTGCAAGGTTTCTTCTGATTCACATAGCTGCAGGGGCTGGCGAACCCAAGATCAGCAGGTCAGAGATCAGGGCTCTGCTCACAGGCTGTGAAGATTGATGAATTCTGAGATTGGCAGGCAAGCTGACAGCTCAAGTCCCAAGAACCGGAGGTGAGACGACAGGAGGCAGCCGCAGGATCTAGAGTGAGCAAAAAGCCAGAACGTCTGCTTATATTCAGATGCAGGCCACACCCCCAAGGAAACTCCCTTTCATCTGATTGGCTACTCACAGTATATTCAGTCATGGGAGTGATCACATATAAACACTGAGAATCATGGCCCAGCCAAGGTGACACACAGTCTTAACCATCACAGTGGCCAAGTCATCTCTGTAAAACGCCCCCTTCCACAGCTCCCATGGGATATGCTCTGGCTCGTTGGGGAGGCCACCAAGCCCCTGCATGACCTGCAGCTTTGTCATTCTCATGTGGTTCAGCATGTGGAATTATTTGCATTGTCCACAAGTAGAAAATGTTTCCGTCATGCCTCTGGGATTTGGTGGCTGCCTACCCCTTCCCCATCCCAGGGTTTCTACTTGGTAAACTCCTACACATACATAAGTCCCCAGCTTAGGGGTCCTCTGTGGCCCCGAGCTGCCCCATCCCCGCCTGAGTGGTCCCACAGCACATCTAACACCTGCTTTTATTGTTGCACTATTGCCTGGTTTTGCGTTATTTATTGATAGGTGTCATCCCTTATCAGACTGTAAAACACCCATACCATGTAGAGATATACTTGCCTTTTCTCTGTTTTTCTAGAAAGTTACAGTGTCTTCCTCCTGGTGCAAGCTCAAAGGTATCTGTTGATTCCGTGTGCTTATTTCCAGGACTTGGCTTGTATACGTGTCCCTGTAAATGTGTATCATCAGGGATTTCGGTCTTTTTTTTTTAACTTGGATCAACAATCAATGTCCGCGGAAGCAGCAGCAAGAAATCAAAGGACACATTGTATTGGGCAAATCGGCTGTGGAAGACTTCTTCAAAGTGTTTAAAAAGCAAAGATGTCACTTTGTGGACTAAGGTGAGCCTCACCCAAGCTGTGTTCTTTTCAGTCACTTCGTATGCATGCAAAAGCTGGACAATGAGAAAGGAAGAATTGATTTGAATCATCAACACCATTTGAATTATGGTGTTGGCAAAGAATATTGAATGTATCGTGGACTGCCAGAAGGATGAACAAATCAGTCTTAGAAGAAATACAACCAGAATTCTCCCTAGAAGCCAAGATGGCGAGACTTCAGCTCACTTACTTTGGACCTGCCAGAAGGATGAACAAATCAGTCTTAGAAGAAATACAACCAGAATTCTCCCTAGAAGCCAAGATGGCGAGACTTCAGCTCACTTACTTTGGACCCGTCATTAGGCAAGAACAGTCGCTAGAAAAGGACATCGTGGTTGGCAAAGTAGAGGGTCAGCAACAACAAGAGAAGCCCTCCATGAGATGGACTCACACGTACCAACAGTCATGAAGATGGTGCAGGACTGGGCAGTGTTGCATCCCAGGGTACATAAGGTTGCTGTGAATTCAAGCCAACTTGATGGCCGTTAACAACAACAACATACTTGTGTGAAGACATTTAAGGGGAAAGGGGATGAAAATGGCTCATTTATTCCAGATACCTACATCTGAGCAAGGGCAGGAGGGGGTGGCAGGTTCTACACCCCATGAGAAACTCCCTCTTAGGGACACTGAGCTCTGACCCTGAGCAACAGCAAGGAGAACCCTGGACATGCTGGAGGGGTTCTGCCTCCCTCGTTCACCTCTAGGGAATATGGGGAAAGGCACCCTGGGACCTCTTCTCCAGTGTCTCTGATCACCTCTGGAGGTGATCTCTCTCACCTGGACAGACCAGCACTGTGCAGGCCGTGTGGGGGCTGGGCTTTGGCCAATGGCACACTGTTCTCCTATGGGAAGTGAGAATCCACTGAGCAGGTTGGGCATTGACAAGAGTTGTCTCATAGTCCCATCCTTGCCAGAGAGGGCATGTGGGGACTGTGTCCAAGACACACCACCCTTCCCTGAAGACCTCTATCCCCTCTCATCTCACCACAGTTCCCCGAGTCACCGAGGAGAGACGGGGCAAACTGCTGAGTCACCAAGTGTGCAGTATGACATGGTGGCCAGGAGTGTGTATAACCACCAGCTTTAGCAAATAAAACCACAGGCTGCCTGGTAAAGTTTAATTTTCAGATTGTTGATGTTAGCTGCCATTGAGTTGGCCCCCGACTCATGGTGACCCCATGCACAATGGAACAAAAAGCTGCCCGGTCCTGCACCATCCTTGTTGCTTGTGGGTTAGACCGGTTTGCTCCATCGATTTTCATTGGCTAATTTTTGGAAGTAGATCACCAGTCCTTACTTCCTAGTGCATCTTACTCTGGAAGCTCTGCTAAAACCTGTTCAGCATCACAGCAACACTCAAGCCTCCACTGACAGATGGGTGGTGGCTGTGCTGGAGGTGCATCGGCCGGGAATCAAACCTGGGTCTCCCGCATGGAAGGTGAGAATTCTACCACTGAACCACCATTGCCACCAGATTTCAGATACAAATAGATCATTTTTTAGCATAGGTATTTCCCAAACAGCTGGCAACCTTAGGAACATGGGCTTTGTTTTCCAGAACAGTGTGTGGTACCTTGCAGATAATGAATTAATGAAACAAAGAGTGGGGCACCTGTAAAATTGGTAGGATGGTTTCTACCTGTTTCAGCTATTGTGAGAATTAAATGGAATGGTCCATGGAAGGTGAGTGTCCCAGTCTCAGACGCCCCGCCAGCACACAATACTGGGGAAGCTGCGATGATGTATGTGTATGTGTTTCCGTGGATGTGTGTTTGCATATTTCGGGCAAACAGCACTGAGGGAGGATGGTGGGAATTCCACCCAGGAAACGTGGTGGAAGTAGAGGCTCAGAAAGTTTGAGAGGGAGGGAGAGCCACTTACACAGCTTTAAAAATAACACAGCCCTCAGATTCCTGTTTGGGAGGGTGGCCCCACAAAAGAAGGTTAGAGAACAGGTGTGTGTTCCAGAAATCAGTAATGGTT